GGGCGTGGTGGCTACGAAGAGCACCCCGGACGGCGTGGACCTGAAGCTGTCCAACTACAGCACCACGGCGGCCTTGAACGGCTCCATCGCCTCGGCCAACAACGCCACGCTGGCCACGGTGGCCGCCAACTACGGCCTCAAGACGGTGGTGGACCAGCACTCCCTAGACATAGCGGCGAGGATCACGCCGCTGGAGGTCGACACCAAGGTGGCCAACGCTCTCCTGGGAGCCGTCACCGCCGCAGCGCTGGCCTCCGAGCTCGCGAGCCGAGACGCCTCCATCTCGGGCCTGCAGGCCTCCAGGGCGGACGCCAGCGCGCTGACCGCGTACGCCCCGCTGTCGGCCGTCGACACTTCCTCGGAGGTGGACTCTAAGATAGCGGCGGCCCTCCTGGGCGCAGTCACCCCGGCAGCCCTGGACGCCGCCCTCCTCGGCAAGGCGGACGCCAGCGCGCTGGCCGCCCTGCTCTCCACGGTGGACGGGCTGGACACGCCACTGGAGGTGGACACCAAGATAGCAAATGCCCGGCTGGGTCTCGCCACCGAGGCCTTCGTCGCAGCGCAGCTTGCTAGCCGTGACGCCAGCATCACGGCGCTCCAGGGGGCCAAGGCCGACGCGACGCTGCTGGCCTCGTACGCCACGAACGCCGCGCTCTCAGCCAGCGCGACCACGCTCCAGAGCGCCCTCGACGCAATCCTCGCGGAGCTCGCCGCCCTGCAGCTTTCCGGCAGCGGCGGAGTTGTTAACGCACCGGCCTGGGCGGGCTTCACAACTTGGGAGCTCGTTCGCGGAAGCAACGTTGTTCGCAACCTGCATCTGCTCTGCTGCGCTGGCCAACGGCGAGACACGCTGAGCATCACGGCCGACTGCTACGCCGTCGCAGCGGCGGACGCGGCCCTCGCGGCTGCGCTGCTGGCCTACTACACCTCCTCACAAGTGGACGCCCTGTTGGGAGACTACCGCACGGCAAGCGCGCAGGACGCGGAGACGACCGGTGCCATGTCGGCCGCGCTGCTGGCCTACTACACCTCGGCGCAAGTGGACGCGCTGTTGGGAGACTACCGCACGGCAAGCGCGCAGGACACGCAGACGCAGGCCGCCATCGCGGGCGCGCTGCTGGCCTACCGCACCGGGCCAGCTCAGGACACGTTCACCAGCAGCCAGATCGCAGCAGCGCTGGTGGCGTACCGCTCAGCCGCGGACCAGGACACGGCGACGGCCTCGAGCATCGCCGCCGCCCTGCTCAGCTACTACACCATCGCACAAGTGGACGGTCTCCTTGCCAACAAGCTCGGAGTCACGGAGGCGGCCTCGGCCCTGCAAATAGCCGTGCGCTTTCCGGACGACGGGGGGGCCGACGAGGTGGTGGCCGCCATAGGAGAGCAGATCCTGGGCCCCACGGACGTCTCACTGTCAAACTGGACGGTTCGCCCCAGCAGCGGCTGCAGCGTGGTCCGGGCCACGCACACCGCGGGAGTAAGCGTGGACGGCTACACCCTGACCCTGGCGGCGAACCCGTGGAACATTGTGCGCACCTACAACTTGACGCCCGGCAGTGAGCTGCTCTTCGCCTGCCGCTACCGGCTCGGCACGGCCTCCAACTTCGTGGTGTACATGTCAGAGGCAGACAACGTCTACGACCCATTGTACGGCAGCTTCGCGGGCGACCAGGGCGCCTGGAGCACGGCCAAGATGTACTTCACCGTGCCGCCCAACGGGGTGGCGAAGCTGCACTTCGGCGCGCACTTCCAGGCGCCGGGCCTGCCCAACCAAACGGCAGGAACGGTGGACGTCTACGGCCTCCAGATCCTGGACGCAACCCTGGAGACCGGCACAGCGGAGGAGGAGACGGCGGCCTCGGCGCTGCTGCTGAAGCACGAGTTCCTCGACGGAGGAGCCGACGACGTCACGCTGGCCACCCTGGGCGAGGTGCTGCTGGAACCCACAATCACCACGCTAGGAAATTTCCTGGTGCGCTCCAACAGCCAGAGCTCCGTGGCCTTGGCCAGCTTCGCGGTGGGAGGCTTCCAGCTGGAGGGCTACGCCATGACCCTGAGCGCCTTCGCCTGGAACATCGTGCGCACCTACACGCTGACGCCGGGGAGACGCTACTCCTTCGGCTGCCGGTACCGGCTGGGCACGGCCTACAACTTGGTGATGTACGTCAGCGCGGCCGACAACGACTACGTGGGCGTCACCGGCACCTTCCTCGGCACGCCCTCGCAGGGCGTCTGGAGCACGGCGCGCCTGGACTTCTCGGTGCCGCCTGGCGGAATCGCGAAGCTGCACTTCGGAGCCTTCGGCGGGTCTATCCCCGGGCTGGTGCAGCAGTCGGCGGGCACGCTGGACCTGTACAGCATGCAGATCAGGGCCACTGCCTTCGTGGGAGAGTCTGTCTCAGTGACGGACCTGCTGGCGGACTCGCTGGCCCTCACGGGCTCGGCCACGCTGGACGGGCTCACCGCGCAGGGCAACGTGGGCTGCGACCAGCTGCTGTGCAACGACGTGAACTGCACCGACGTGTTCACCACGGGCGTGGACGCCTCGGGCGCAGTCTCCTGCGCTGCGCTCACCGCCACAGGCACCGTCGCCGGGGCCGCGCTGTCGTCCACAGGGGCCGTGTCAGGCAGCTCGCTGAGCATCAGCGGCGCGGCCAGCGTGGGCCTGTTGAGCTCCGCCACAGGAATCACGGGCAGCACGTTGACCATCAACAACACAGCCAACGCCGGGAACTTCACCACGGTGGGCGACGTGTCCACGGGGACGTTGACGGCCTCGGGCGCAGCAACCGCGGCGAGCTTCGCAGCCACCGGGGCGCTCACGGGCGCCACGCTGACCACCGGTGCGGCCTCCACGGGCCCGCTGTACTGCGAGAGCCTGGACTGCACCTTCACGGCCACGAGCGGCGGTGTGTCGACGGGCAGCGTGGTGTGCGGCAACGTGACGAGCTCGGGCACGGTCTCCGCGCCGCAGCTCTTCGCCTCCAACACGCTCACCGTGACCAACACCTCGGACTTCTCGGACGATCTCTTCCTGACGAAGAACTGGGCGGGCTGGAGCAAGCTGCAGGTGTCCAACAACAGCGCGGCCCCCGACAGCGGCCCGGAGCTGCGGCTGCTGGGCAACCAGAGCGCCAGGGTCTTCCTGGAGCGGGATGGCGGGGCGTAGCAGTGCGAGCTCATCATGATCAACGACGAGGCGCTGGTGCAGACGAAGAGCCTCTCCACGCAGCTGTCCCTGACCACGAACCAGAGGAACCCCGGCTGTCTCGTGATCGCGGGCAACACGGGCAACGTGGTCTGCAACACGAGCTTCACGAATTTGTCGGACAGCAGGGTGAAGACGGAGATGGCCGAGGCCGACGTGGCAGAGCTGCTGCAGATGTTCGACTCCGTGGAGGCCATGCAGTACAAGCGCCCGGACATGAACGAGGACCTGAGGCTGGGCTTCGCCTCGAACGACTGCGCAGGAACGAAGTGGAAGAACCTGACGGGCACCGCCAGGTGGAGCGACGGCACGGAGATGATCACGCTTGACTACTCGCACCTCACCAGCGTGCTCTGGGGGGTGTGCAAGGGCTTCCAGGCCCGGCTGGACGAGTTGGAAGCCTGGCAGGCCCAGCGGGGGCCGAAGAACAAGTAAACATGGAGGCGCTGAGGGACCTGGCCGACGACTTCAACGTGCGGGACCCGCGGAAGCTGTACCAACTTGCGAGGCAGCGCGACCTCGACGTGACGCAGGCCATGGCCTTCGAGGCGCTGAAGGCCGACGTGGGCCGGCAGGTGCAGGCGCCCCGGCCGCGCGCGCTGGGCAAGTCGGCCGCCGAGGGGCCAAACGACCGGCTGCAGGCCGACCTCATCGACTTCAGCCAGAACACGCGGGGGAAGACGAAGTATGGCCTGGTGGTGATGGACGTCTTCACCCGGGAGGCTGCCGTGGAACCTCTGCAGAACAAGAACGCCGAGACGGTCGGCCGGGCCACCAAGCGTGCCACGCAGGAGCTGACGGGGGACGACAAGAACTTCGTGGTCACGACCGACCTGGGCAACGAGTTCGCCACGCTGGACCGGGAGCTGCCCGCGGAAGCCGTGCACCGAACGAAGCGCCCGGAGGACCGCAACGCCACGGCCGTGGTGGACCGGGGAATCCAGACGCTGAAGAAGGACCTGGCCACGCGCGTGGCCCGCAAGGGCGGCCAGTGGAGCGACCACTTTGAGCAGACCGCTTCGGCCTACAACGCGCGGCCCCACGAGACGGTGCATGGCGCCCCGGAAGACGTGGAGAAGCAGCCGGCCACAGAGTTCAGGGTCCTCCAAGACAACGCCGACAGGTTCCAGCACAACAAGGACTTGACGAACCGCCGCATCAAGGCAGTGGAGGACGCGGGCGCTTTCCGAGCACCGACGAACGCGGCGAGGAGCTTCAACCCTCAGTACGGCGACGTGCAGCAGCTGCGGGCCGTGGACTCCATGACCGTCCGGAGCACCGAGGGCCGGGAGACCCTGCTGAAGCTGGCGCTGCCGGCGCCCCAGGGCAGCGGCAACGCGGCGGGCCGACTGACGAGGCGGGGCAGGCCGGCAGCTGTCAGGCAGCTGGACGACTTCCTGGCGCCTCCAAGGCCCAGGACCCTCGACTGATTACGGCTACTTTGGACCAAACTGGAAACTTTGCATAAAGCGCTGGAAACTTGTAGTACTTTGAGTCGTGTTTTTGGGGAACCCTAGCATGATTTTCCTGAGAGCACCCCAAGTCTCTCGGACGACATCATTATAAAAATCTAAATCCCCATGCGTCCGTGTCCTCGACCTATCGACCTGCCCGAGCAAGACGTCGAGACCGCAGAAGCCTCAGGCATTGAGGCATCTAACAAGGGTTGGACATCTGAGGTGCGCTCAAGACAGCAAGGGTTGGACAGTGTTTTCCTTGCGCAAGCACGCCATCTGTTCACGTGACTTGCCGGGTCTCTGCAAATGGCTGACACTGTACGTCACCCAAAAGCCTAAGAGCTACTTGTCGATGCCGATCGGAGCTTCACACCCACCATGCGCTCATTTTGCTTGAGGGTGGAGATGTACCGCGGGCCATAGGATTGTCCTTTGATCCCCAACTTCGAGATCACGCTCTTTGCCGCGCCCAAGGTGTCCAGGCTGAGGTAGGTCTTCAGCGCCATCGTCAGCTCCGTGTGGAGGCTTGCTTCCTTCAAGGGCACCAGCGCACACATCTCCGCCATGAAGGCCTCGGGTTTGGCCTCCTCGTCCTTGTCTGCACATGGGACCAGGTCCATGGCGCTCATCTTCATCTCCGGTGGCTGCGGCTTGATCTCGGTGCCTGGGTTGTACTCCATCTCCAACGAGTCCACGAGATTTGCCGCAAGGAAGAACATGTACTTGTTGAACTCTCCTCGGTTTATCCGGGTCTTGAGGCCATCCACGGCTCGCTCCTCGGTGGCCATGGACGGCTTCAAGGTGAACTTGACCGTTGTCTGGCAGACTCGAAGCCGCCGCAGCATCCCATCCGGTCGAGTCACACGGGGAGGGGAATTGCTTGTTGCCACCAGCAAAGCCGTAGGCATGAAGTCCCGGGGACCCTTGTTGAGCTTCCTGCTGCAGACTGGCGCACCTTCCATGTCACAAAAGGGCTTGATGAAGTCATCCGCCAACGAGTAGTGCTCGGGGACTTCACTGGCCCAGGCCAGCCGCTTGCCTAGAGTCCTTGCATGGTAAGGCGCGGGTCCGTCCTTCGCGGTCAGGTAGCGAGTCTGCTGCACCACATAGTTTCCCGGAAGCTGCACCCCGTAGTTGTTCTCTTTGTGACCGAAGAAGGCGTGCAACATCTTCACCTTGGTGTCCTTCCCGGAATCCTGGCTTCCCCAGATGTAGTACATCTCGCAGAACCGCGGCGTCGCGGAGATGGCCCTGGTCATGAGACGCAGCTCGTACAGGACGGAGTCCCAGTCCCCGTACACCTTCATGTGGCGGAGGATCTCGCACCCGTCCTGCTCCAATTCCTCGAAGCACTCGATGACCTGTTTGCCATTCTCGCTGGCCTCGAGCAGACACACCCCCGTCTCCACATGCTCCTTCAAGAAAGCCAGGATGTGCTCGAAGAGCTTGGTCGCCTTGCTCGGCTGCCACATCTCTGAGGTCGCCGCCGCGTGGAAGCCCATGCGGTCGGCGGGGATCGGTGATCGGAGGACACGCTCCTTGAAATCGTAGAGCATGCCGTCGCAAAAGAGGATTTTGTGCCGTGTCTCGTCGCCGTCGAGGTCCGCCATCTGCGGGCCTGCCAGACGCCCCAGAACGGACGAGGACAGACCGGTGAAGAAGGCATTATCGTTGAGGGGCGGCGGCGGCACGTAGTTCTCATCGGCTGTCTCGAAGACCGGGCAACACATCTTGTTCATCAGGTCTTCCACGGTCTGGCCCAAGTCGTCCCGGTTTCGCACCAGCCAGAAGCCTCCCTTCTCGAAGCTTTCGTAGGTGGTCCTCTTCTCACCCCCCTCCACCGGAACGTGTACGACCGGGACCAGCTTCGCCGCCGCCAGCTTCGCAAAGTCCACGGTGTTTGCCCTCGCCCGTCCAAGTATGACGTGCTGCCTGCAGCGCTGGAGCAGTTGGTGGTACCCGGAGAACTCCATCTTCGACTTGAGTCTCCAATCCAAGTTGGGGTACTTCGCCGCCGCGTATGCCCACGGGTCCTCCAGCTCGTGCATGACCACCTCGACATCCACGGCTCGCTTCACGGCCTCGCTCGCGGAGCGGAGGGCCCCGATGCCGTCGTGCTGGTGGTCGTTGAAGGCCCTGCCCGCTGCCGCCGCCATCTTCTCCATCTGCAACCTCTCGTGGTGGGCGTACAGGGCAAAGGCCCCCGAGGCAGTGGAGCGGCCCTGCTCCATGTGCCAGTCCTTGGCCTTCTGTGGCAGCAGCTCAAAAACGGCCACGTGGTAGAGGCGCGCCGCCGTCTCGAAGCCGTAGAGCCAAGCAGCCACCTCGCCGCGCTCCCCCTCATCCGAAGCCAAGGGTATGTCCTGCAGCACCTTGCTCGTCCAGTTTGCGAAACCACCCCCAAAGCCCAGGGCAATCATCAGCTCCTTCGCCACGCTGCGCCGGCGGGCCTCGGGCAGCTTGTGGAAGAGCACGCGGCCGATCTGCGCGAGCTTCTCCTCACGGTGGTCCAGGTACTCCGCCATGATGGGCGGCAGCGGCTTCTGTCGGTTCAAGAGCTGGAAGAACGAGTTCTTGATGTCCAGCTCGACGGATCCAAGGCGACGCCGCGCAATGTAGCGGACCAACTTCTTGAAGGCAAACGCAGAGCGCCCCACAAGCGTGTCTGGGACCCCCATCTCGATCTCCTTGCGAATCTCCGGCGGCAGCTGCTTCATGAACTCTGCCCGAGCGGAATCCACGGCGCCCTCATTGCCTTTGCGCTTTTTGGCAGGCGCCTCCTGTGCGGGCACCCGAAGATCCGCCCCTTCAGCCCAGGCGCGGTGCGGCCTGGGCGCAGGAGCACGGGAATCCACCCAATGCCGTCCTGGTCCACATTCACAGAGCGCTTGAACAGGCTCATCAGCACATCAAAGAGACTGTGGTCGGGGCATCGCCGCACGGCGTCGAGCTGCAGAGCGTTGCTGATGGTGAACACGTCCGTCCGCTCCCAAACAAGGCGATGGTGTTTTAGGTTATCCTCGGGAGGCTCGGTAAACTGCTCCTTGAACTGCGTGTAGTGCCCCAGCTGGGCGGGTGTCGGAAGCTCTACCTCCTCCTCTACCTCCTCCACCTCCTCCTCCTTGACCTCCGTCTCCATCTGCTCCGGCTCCTCCGTCTCCGTCTCCATCTGCTCCGGCTCCTTGGCCGGCTCCTCGACCGGCCCATGGGCCTCCGTCTCCTCCTGGGCCTCAGCCGGCTCCTCGGCCGGCCCATGGGCCTCCGTCTCCGTCTGCTCCTCCGTCTCCATCTGGGCCTCGGCCGCCTCCTCGACCGGCTCCTCGACCGGCCCATGGGCCTCCGTCTCCTCCTGGGCCTCCGTCTCCATCTGGGCCTCGGCCGCCTCCTCGACCGGCTCCTCGACCGGCTCCTCGGCCGGCTCATGGGCCTCCGTCTCCTCCTGGGCCTCCGTCTCCTCCTGGGCCTCAGCCGGCTTTTCGGCCGGCTCGTGGGCCTCCGTCTCTGCCGGCTCATGGGCCTCCGTCTGCTCCTGGGCCTCCGTCTTCTCCTGGGCCTCAGCCGGCTTTTCGGCCGGCTCCTCCGTCTGCTCCTGAACCTCCGCAAGAGCCTTTGAGAGCCTCCTTTCAAAGATGCGTTGGAGCTCCCGCACCGACTCAGCTTCCTCGAGGTTGGCATCATTGAGGTTGAGCCACTGGAGCCTCGCCAAGGCTTCCTGGCACACAGATCTCTCAAGGCGCTTGCCGACGGAGAAGGCCGTCACAGAAATTGATGACCTCTGCGGCGGTTTCCACCGGATCTTGGATCTTGCACAGCGCGCGGTGCAGAAGCCCCTCCAGCTCAGTCATGGGCCGCTGGCGAGTAGCGTCTGGATCACTGCCGACCGCCAAGCTCTTCATGCTCTGCATCTCACCGAAGGCCTCTCCAGCGCGGGGGTCCGTGCACTTGTCCGGGTGCACCAAGTGCATCATCATCTTGAAGCAGGACGACGCAGAGCCGGGGAAGATCCTGAAGCCGCACTTCTCGCCAACTCGATGCGTTGGGCTCAGCACGAGCTGCACCGCCAGGGACCGCGCGGCATCCATGGTCATGGTAGGTGTCGAAAGCTAAGTTCCTTCTGAGAAAATGCTTCAAAAGATAAAGATGGCACGTCCCAGCAAGTACCCGAATGCTTGGCAATGACTGGCAACCAGGCCCCGGACATTCGGAAACAGCAGCCGAAGTTGAAGGCGTCTGAGCGGCAACTCCACCCGGTCCTGGAGATGCTTGTCAAATGGCCTAGTTCTGTGCCCCCCCTGAGGCGGTTTTTTATTTATATAAAAATCTAAATGCTTCGATCCCTCGTGCTTCGATCCCTGACATCCCGTGCTTTCTGCGCCCCCCTGAGGCGGTTTTATATTTATATAAAAATCTAAATGCTTCCATCCCTGGCATCCCGTGCTTTCTGTGCCCCCACTGAGGCGGTTTTTTTATATAAAAATCTAAATGCTTCCATCCCTGGCAGGTTGTCTCCCGTGCTTTCCGTGCCCCCTGAGGCGGTTTTTTATTTATATAAAAATCTAAATTCTTCGATCCCTGGCAGGCTGTCTCCCGTGCTTTCCGTGCCTCCCTGAGGCGGTTTTTTATTTATATAAAAATCTAAATGCTTCCATCCCTGGCAGGCTGTCTCCCATGCTTTCCGTGCCCCCCTGAGGCGCTTTTTTATTTATATAAAAATCTAAATGCTTCGATCCTGGCATCCCGTGCTTTCTGTGCCCCTTGAGGCGGTTTTATTTTTCTAAAAAAACAAATGCTTCAATCCCGCTGCAGGCAGTCTGACAAGGAATGCGAGCGTTTAGGTTTTATATAAAATAAAAACTTTTTTTTTTTAATCGAAACACTTCCTCGCGGCTTGTCAAATGGCCTAGCTCTGTGCCCCTTGAGGCGGTTTTATTTTTCTAAAAAGCTAAATGCTTCAATCCCTCTGCAGGCAGTCTGACAAGGAATGCGCGCGTTTAGCTTTTTATATAAAATAAAAACTTATTTTTTCAATTAAGTGCTTACGGATAGGTCCCTGCGCAAGGTGTCTGGGGACCTATCGATTCGAGCAGTGTGAAACTCTTGGCCTGCAGGCAGTCTGACAAGGAACGTTTAGCTTTTTATATAAAATAAAAACTTATTTTTTCAATTAAGTGCTTACGGATAGGTCCCTGCGCAAGGTGTCTGGGGACCTATCGATTCGAGCAGTGTGAAACTCTTGGCCTGCAGGCAGTCTGACAAGGAATGCATGCGTTTAGTTTTTATATAGAATGAAAACTTTATTTTTTTAAAAAAAGAAAAGAATACTTCCTCGCGGCTTGTCAAATGGCCTAGCTCTGTGCCCCTTGAGGCGGTTTTGTTCATATAAAATCTAAATGCTTCAATCCCTCTGCAGGCAGTCTGACAAGGAATGCATGCGTTTAGTTAGTTTTATATAAAATATAAAAATTTATTTTTTAAAAAAAGAAAATAATACTTCCTCGCGGCTTGTCAAATGGCCTGGGTCTGGCGCTGGGGGGAGGTTTTTATGCAGTGCCGAGTGGGCACGTAGGATTAATACTGCTTCGCCCAACGACCTGGAACTCAGCTCCGTGCGCTTCGCATGTTGGCATCCCTATATCACACACCTCAAGGATGAGGATTGCTTTTTTTATTTATATAAAAATCTAAATGCCTGTGTGCCAAGTCGAAGGTGTCTGAGCAGCAGCGGCTCGATTTATTTATATAAAAATCTAAATGCCTGTGAAAAACCGCCTCAAGGGGGCACAGAAAGCACGGGGACAACCTGCCAGGGATCGAAGCATTTAGATTTTTATATAAATAAAAAACCGCCTCAGGGGGCACAGAAAGCACGGGAGACAACCTGCCAGGGATGGAATCATTTAGATTTTTATATAAATAAAAAACCGCCTCAGAGGGGCACAGAAAGCACGGGAGACAACCTGCCAGGGATGGAAGCATTTAGATTTTTATATAAATAAAAAACCGCCTCAGAAATCCACAGAAAGCACGGGAGACAACCTGCCAGGGATGGAAGCATTTAGATTTTTATATAAATAAAAAACCGCCTCAGAGGGGCACAGAAAGCCCGGGAGACAACCTGCCAGGGATGGAAGCATTTAGATTTTTATATAAATAAAAAACCGCCTCAGGGGGGGGCACAGAGCTAGGCCAGTTGGGCGAGCCAGTATCAAACGAGGTTGGGCGGACCAGTACTAAGGGGGCCGTTGGGCGAACCCGTGCTAAGGGGGCCGTTGGGCGAACCCGTACTAAGGGGGCCGTTGGGCGAGCCAGCCAGTCCTAAGGGGGCGTTGGGCGAACCGTTACAAAGGGGGCCGTGTTTTATTGGGCGAGCCAGTATAACGAGGTTTGGGGGACGTACTTAAGGGCCGTTGGGCGAACTCGTACTAAGGGGGCCGTTGGGTGAACTCGTACTAAGGGGGCCGTTGGCCGAACCCGTACTATCCTACGTGCCCGCTCGGCACCGTGCCCGCTCGGCACCCTCTAAGTGCCTGCTCGGCACTGTGCCTGCTCGGCACCCCCTAAGTGCCCGCTCGGCACCCCCTAAGTGCCTGCTCGGCACTGTGCCTGCTCGGCACCCCCTAAGTGCCCGCTCGGCACCCCCTAAGTGCCTGCTCGGCACTGTGCCTGCTCGGCACCCCCTAAGTGCCCGCTCGGCACTGCCTACTCCTAATCTAGAGTGCCCGCTCGGCACGTTTACCTAACGTGCCCGCTCGGCACTGTGCCTGCTCGGCACTCCCTCCCGCCCACCCCCTCTCTCCCCAGGTCCCGACCGCTGTTTTCACAGCAGAACGGCTCGACGTCGCCCCGCTCACACCTGTCCATCCTGCGCCGGTGGCATGACAAGATGCTGACAAAAACTCACAAAGCAGGAGCCTCACGCAGGCCCAGTTCATGAGGACTTCCCCTGGGGCAAACTGTGGATTACGTGCCAAAACACTGTGTCATGACATGAGCAGCCTTCACCGGGGGCTCGCCCTTCGGCTTTGGAGCCGGCTCCACCTGTCAAACAAAGTGAGCAATTGCGGAGTCCTACAACGAACCGATAGGGCCTTCGGGCGCTTGCTGGCCGGGACCAAAGCCTGTCAGGAAACAAGAACATCAAGGCCCAGCATTTCTCCCAACCTCGAGGCTCGCGACCTGGGCCCTGAGCTGAACGTTCTCCAGATGCAGCGGCCCGTGATCAGCCTGCCCAGGTCACGCATGAAAAAAACAACCAGCACCTGCGCGCTCCTGGTACTCCGCGGCCAGCTCCGCGCAAAACCTGGTGTTCTCCTGAACCTGGCAAAAAAGGAAGTGCATACAAAAAAAAAGAAGCCTCCCCTGACCTTCCCGTAGAACCGCTTCTCGAGGGCCTCCTGCCGCAGAGCAAAAACAAGAGAGTTGACAAGCCGGCCACAGCTCCTTCTCCGACTTCACCTCCTTCAGCTCCTCCTCCAGCTTCTGGATGAGAGCGTCCTGCGGCCAAGTGTAAGCAAACCTCATCAACTCGCTCCGCAAAAACCTCGCCTTCACCGCCAGCTCCTTGCGAACGTCATCCTGCAGCCAGGAGCGTGCACGCTAACGACAACACCGAGTCTCTCCTTCCAGGAGTTGAAGTTATTCTCCCTCCTGACCTTCGACGGCGGCCTTCAAGTGGCGAGATGACGCAAACGCGTGAAAAAAAAATCAGGCCTGCGAGGCACCTTCCACCCGGAGCTGCCGGCGCCATCCCCCTCCACCTGACGTGGAAAAAAAGGGGAAAAAACACGAAGGCGAGTCGGGCCTGGTGCGGCCCATGCGGATGCCACTCCTCCTGGCGCGGAAAAAAGGGGGAAAAAACACGAAGGCGAGTCGGGCCTGGTGCGGCCCATGCGGATGCCACTCCTGCGGCGGACACCACTCCACCTGACGTGGAAAAAAAGGGGAAAAAAACGAGGGCGATTCGGGCCTGCGGCCCATGCGGCGGATGCCACTCCTGCGGCGGATGCCACTCCTCCTGCCGTGGAAAAAAAGGGGGAACAAAAATCGAGCGAGTCGGGCCTGGTGCGCTCCATGCGGCGGAAGCCACCCCTGCGGCGGACGCCACTCCTCCTGGCGTGGAAAAAAAACAAGGAAAAGACGAGGGCGAGTCGGGCCTGGTGCAGCTCATGCGGATGCCACTCCTCCTGTCGTGGAAAAAAAGGGGAAAAAATCGAGGGCGAATCGGGCCTGGTGCAGCTCATGCGGCTGACGCCAATCCTCCTGGCGTGGAAAAAACAAGGAAAAAAAACGAGGGCGAATCGGGCCTGGTGCGTCTGACCCCACTCCTCCTGACGTGGAAAAAACAAGGGGAAAAAGGGAGAAAAAACCCGAGGCCAATTCGAGCCTGCGGCTCCCATTGGCCCCAGCATTCCTCCTGACAGCAACACACCCATAAAAAACCGGCACGAAAAACTTCGAATGTCCTCCGTGACTCCACTCATGGCCGGGGCGCTGATGCTGATGTTGCTGCTGTTGCTGTTGATGCTGATGCCCGAAACCTTGCCCCGCTACCCGAAGCTTGCCCGAAACCTTGCCCCGCTACCCGAAGCCTTGCCCCGCTACCCGAAGCCTTGCCCCGCTACCCGAAGCCTTGCCCGAAACCTTGCCCCGCTACCCGAAGCCTTGCCCCGCTACCCGAAGCCTTGCCCCGCTCCCCGAAGCCTTGCCCGAAACCTTGCCCCGCTACCGCAGTGTGTTGCCATCGAGATGATCACTTTGCGCCCCTGGTGGGGGACTGCCTTCTGCCCCAGCACAAGCCCTCCGAAATTCCCGAGGTGAATCCTTGAGAGCTGGTGCTTGTTTTTTTTGTTTTGGCGGGTGCTGTTGTGCTCGAGCCCTGCCCGCAAATCAAGTCCGATTACGGCACAGTCTGCTTGCAAAAAAACACCAAACGGGTTTGCGTCATGCAAGCACCCCCGAAGAGGTAATTTCCATTGGTGTCCTTGTCAAGAACCCAGATTTTCAATGAATAGATTGCGCCAACTTTGATTCAATGGTCGTGTGGGACAGAATGGGGGAATCCTGTGTCAAAGAGCAGGAGTTGACCTGCAATCAGGCCTCGGTCGGAAACATCTTTGCCCACCGATTTGGCAATAATATAGGGAACCCAGTGCTCCTGTTCTGCATGCTACTGAGCGCCACTGAAGCTGTTTGCAACTGCATCCTTCAAGACAAGGCCCAAATTCAGTGACAAATGGCGCAAAGAACCTGAAGATTTGCCACACGAATCCGCTCCACACGAAAAGGTCCCCTAGCAAGCAAAATCATGCAAAAAACTCAACGTGACATCCGTGCAAAAACCCACGCAAAACGCATGCAAGAAAAACATGTCATGCCAAAATCGAGAAGGGGTCACAGGCTGGCAAGCTGGGTTTCCGTGGCTGGCGCATAGTGTTGATTGCACATGGATAAGCTCCAAAATCTTGGCGCCAATGAAGCCGCCTTAGAAGAGACCCTGACAGCTTCGGGGGCGTGAAAACGGACCTCTGTTTCCACACCCCTAAGTTGGGGCAGCATCGCCAACAACACCCGCATCAGCAGCAACCCTCCAGCTCCCTCTCCCTCATCAATCCACGCAGACATCGAACGTTCTGGCGGCCATGCAAATCATGCAAAATCCTGCACAGATGCCTCGGAAAGTTGCGGCCCGGCCGACCGACAAAAAAATCTGGCCCCGTAAAAAAGAATGGCAAGTTGGATGAGACAACGACTACGCATCAGCGAGGCGGCGGATATGGGCGCCAGGGGTCGCACGACGGCGGATGGCTCCGTCGTGTTGAACCTACACAGAGGGGCGGGCGCCTACGCGCTGCTCGCGCGCACGGACGGGCAGCTGACCCGAGCGGGGCAGCACTACTACTCGCACCTGGGGCTGCGCCCCCCCACCAAGGACATTGACTACAACCAGCCCCTCATCCGCGAGGGGCCCAACGACTACATTCTCCTGCGCAACGGGCAGAAGAAGCTCGTGCGGTCTTTGGAGGGCGACGGCGAGCACCGGCTCACCAAGCTGGGGAAGGCCTTCTTCCGAGACAAGTACTATGAGTACCTGGTCCACGTACCGGTGGTCATCCGCGGCCGGCGGCGCAGCGGGCGGAACGCGGGCGCGGCCTACGAGCGGAAAGACTGGCTACCGATCAACGAGCTCGGGGGCGCCATGACTCGGCACCCCGCGGGACTCACCGAGGAGCAGGTGGCGCAGCGCGTGCGGCGGGGGGTGGAGGCCTCCCTCGGGGACCCCGCGGGGCCCATCCTCCAGCTCTCGGACGAGACGTACTACCTGGACCCCGAGGGGCGCTGGGTGGTCAGCACGCAGAGCACGCACTACCGGAACTCGCGGACGGAGGTGGAGACGCTGCTGCGGCAGCGCATGCAGGGGCTGCGAAGCGTGAGCTTCCAGCTGCCCTGCGAGGAGGACGTGCTGGCCAGTGCCTTCGTGGACAAGCCGCTCTGCGTGGCCCGGCAGCTTGCGGAGCTGCTGCAGCTTCGCCTCGAGGAGGTCTGTGCGGACTTCGACACCATGCTCTGCCACGACTGGCGGAGCCTGGGCGTCTCGGCCGAGGAGGTCCGGCAGTTCTGCGTCTGGCGCGACGCCCCTATGCGGTTCCTGAGCTCGCAGGGCGACGTGGTGGACAGCTACGACCCTGCACTGAAGAGACACCGCACCGTGTGCTTCCTGTGCTTCAACGGGCACTGCTACATGTACCGGTGCGTGAAGCGCGTGCTGGAGCGGGATGCGTGGCGCACGCTGTACCGCGGCGAGGCGCGGCAGGAGCTGCCGCCGATAGTCGAGTGGAAGCGTTTTGACCCCGCGCTGCCTTTGGAGCCGGGGCTGTTCTGGTGCGAGGACCTACGGGAGGCGCGGCGAGACTTGATGGTGGCCGGGGAGAGCCCCAAAGTGACCCTCAGCAGTCCCTCCCAGTACAGCGGGCTGAGGCTGAGGTGCGGCATGCGAATCCGTGAGCTGCCCGAGGAGCACGAGCTGCTGCGGCGCTGGTGCGAGGGGTTGGACCAGGAGTACCGGGGCCAGCGGCTGGCGGGCCTGGCGCACGAGGTCTTTCTCAAATTACTGAAGGCCAAGCGGGAGGTTCCCACAGCGGCGCAGCGGCAGGAGGTCCTGGCCGTGCAGCAGGGCTTGTGCGCGCTGTGTGGTTGCACGGTGACGCAGAGCGCCTGCGAGCTGGGCCACGTTGTGCCGGTGCGGCAGCTCTTCGCAGACAGCGTGCAGCGGCTGCAGGCGCTCTGCGTTGACTGCCACAGCGAGAAGACGCTCCGGGAATCCGCGCAGCCCACGAGTCTGGAGAGCCGCGTCTGCCCGGGGGTTATGGAGGCCTACGTGCGCAGTCCGAAGCTGCCGCCGCTGGTCTTCGAGGCCCAGGGGAGCCACCGCGAGAAGCCCTACGTGGGTGTCGACGTCGTGCGCTGTCGCCGCAACGGTTTGGCCAACGCACCCTTCCCGCTGCCCATCCTTTGCCCCGCGGACGGCGTGGAGCCCGTGGAGCCGGGGCGGCTGCCGGACTTGGGCTACGTGGAGGGGTGCCGCGACGCGCGCCAGGCCGCGCTGCAGCTGCTGCCGTTTGTGGGCCCTGGCGGTACCCCAAAGTTTCCATTGCCGCGATGCTGGAGACGGGCGTGTGCCGTTGGGATCACATCCCGCTGGGCATCTATGCGCGCGGACACGTGGGCGCGGCCACGCTCCGGCGGGCCCTGGAGCGCATGGACGCTGCGTGGCCCGAGGGCGAGGAGCACATGGCCAAGCTCTCGGTGAACGCGATGATCGGGCTATGGGCGCGCCGCGCGGACGTGATCTACTCCGTGCGCAGCAGCAGCTGCCAGCTGGACGGCCCCGGCGCCGACTTCACGCAAAGCTTCTGCTACGGGGAGGGCAGCGTCTGGGACTTCGTGTACACACGGCGCCTGCTAACCAACGGAACGTATCGCCCCATCCACGACGCCGTGCTGGGCTTGGAGCACTGCATGGTGGCCAAGGCCCGGCGGCTGCTGGCGGCGCCCCCACGGTACGTGAAGCAGGTCAAGACGGACTGCCTACTGCTCCAGGGGCTGCCAAAGAGCCGGCAAGAGAGCCTGGAGGCGCTGACCAGGCTGCGGCACCAGGACGGCACACCCGTCTTTCGGGTGGAGGAGTGTAAGCCATTGCTGGGGCGCAGCGCACCGCCGCGCATGGAGGCGGAGAGGCCAGCGCTGCGGCGGTGGCGCGAGGTGGAGGACCCCCTGGAGCACTGCGCGGCCGGCAACTCCCTGTTGCTCACCGGCCTGCCGGGCACCGGGAAGACGTACCTTGCGCGCAAGATCGTGGCGCGGCTCCGTGAGCAGGGCGAGGCGGTGCACCTGGTGTCGAAGACGCATTGCTCTGCGCAGAACCTGGGGCTCGGCGCGCAGACGGCCGACCACTGGGTGCGCAGGTACGTCCGCAACGGGAGCGTGCAAAAACTTGACTGGCTCGTGGTTGAGGAGATCACCCAGCTGGACATGGCGCTCTGACCGGGCGTGCGTGGGGCTGAACCCCGACGTGAAGTTCCTGCTGCTTGGCGACTTCCGGCAGCTGCCCGCGGTGCTGGACTCCTGGGCCGGGCAGCCCATCAGCGCCCCGCTGGAGCATAGCCAGCTGGTGCTGGACCTCGCAGGCGGCCACCGGCACGAGCTCACCGAAAACATGCGCTCCGACCCCGGCATCTTCGATTTTGTGAAGTGGCTGCAGGTGGGCGAGCCCGACGCGCCCGCGCTGGAGGAGGCCAAGGCGCGGGCCCGCGAACTCTTCCCCGCCAAGCCAGGGTGGCCCGAGACGACCCTGGTCATCAGCCACGCGCGGCGGGTGGCCGTGAACGCGGCAGCCAACCGGCCCTGCAGCCACCGGGCGCCAAGCTCTTAGTACTGGAAACGGGTGTGGAAATTGCTCTGCCCGAGAGCCAATTGCAGAGCCCGCAGAACCGAGCGCAGAACATGCTGGTGTGGCCG